CCACAGGGAATATTTAATTATTTAATCCTAGACGCTAAATTCTACCAATTATTATCAAGCCCACCCTACACAGTCGACTTTAGAGAGATTTAACTAGATTAAAATAAATTAAAAACAAGCAAAAACAAGAAAGCAATTTAAAGTGAAGATTTAATCAAGATAAGCAAACCTAGGATTTTATTCTTCCCCCAATGTGATTATTATTCCCCCAATTCCTTCAATTATACAAGCAATTAACCCGGATTATTAACCTGAGATGCTAAAATAATCATAACCCGCTTCCGCGTGTATTACAATTCTAATACTCTAGATTCAATTACTATATTCCTATGCAATTAATTCTAGAACACAGCATTAAGCACAAATCTCAATAATGGCTACCTAAGAGATTAACTATATTCCTATGTTAATACCACAAAGGCTCTTCTACCACAGTTCTAATTTTTAACCCGATCTTCCGATTCATGCGATTAACAATAACATAAAAGCACATAAGTTGATCAAGTTCATGCACTTAATAAAACAAGTAGAAGAAATAATCCGGAATTAAAACTTGCATAAAATCATAGAATTGGGTTCATAAATCCCACATAGGGTTCCAAATAAAATCCTAGAAATAAAGACTTTGCTACTCGTAAAACTTATGATAAATAAAATAAAATAAATAAATTAAATAAGAAAAACTATGCTTGAATCTTCGTTGATCTTCTTTGCTCTTGAATTTGCGTAAAAAAAGATGGATCCTCAATTGTGTGCTTGGCTTGGTCTTATATAGGGTGAAGAAGTTGGGGAAGAAGGCAGTTTCCTTGTGCAATTAAAATTCCTTTACTGCGCAGCTTCGGAGTCTCGGACGGGGGTCTCACAATTTGCACTAAAACTGGGACGGGGGTCCGAGCTTTAAATCTTCAGAATTTTGATATTTTCACTTTTGACCCATATTTTCGCCAAAATTGCAGTTTTGACCCCATACTTTTCCAATTCTTCAATTTGTACCTAAAATACAATAAATCAACTTTTTAAGCACCAATTATCGTTAAAACACACCAAAAGCTCAAATAAAAAGATACGATAAAGTGTAAAAATATACACTTAACAGTCTCATGTATGTGTATGCATACTTTCCATGCAGTGGTATAGCGCATGGAGTTTTTTTTTTTTAACCGTATTTGATGTTATCGTTTTCTAAGGTACTTTAATACAGATTTGTTTTTCATTTATCTGAAAGTTGTCTAATGCATTGCACTGATGGAAAACGCAAAAAAAATGCAAGTTAACTACTCGGTACTAATTGATTTTACATAAGGAATTAATGAAAATCTTACATATGGAATTAACAAAAACCAAATCAAAAAGGAAATTGTAAAATGATGTATACTCTTTGGTTTCTCATTTGAACTCACTTGATCCGTATCACTGTTGTTAATTATATCTCTAAAACATAAACAAAGTAAATGAGGAAGAGTCGTAACTAATAGCCAACATATGTGTAAATGAAAGAATTAAATGCCTTCGGATTCATGTAATTTAAATTCAACGTGCATAAAATCAGATATTTTTAAACAAGACAAACAAAAATTTGTGTTGAGTAAAATTATGCAGTGAAATATAAATAACACAAATTTTAAATCATTATCCACAAGTATATAACTTGTGGATGGTGGCTTCATAGCAAAAAAAAAAAAAAAAAAGTATTCAAAAGAATGCAAATGAGAAGACAAATTCTCTTCTAAGAAGAAATCACAAGTTGATTTCTCTGTAAACCAATCCCTAGAATCTAGAACAATATTGTTAAGCAACACTCTAGGAATACAAACCAGTATTCAATGATATTGAATACAAAACACACTCGATTATGTAGTGAGAAGTCCATAAAGAAAACAAGGTGTAGTAAAAGATGTTCCAACCCAAAGCTTTGTACTCTCAACTCTCTGCAGAAAATGTGAGAAATGAACTAAGTTCTCCTATTTATAGAGTCCGAGAGCTCTTTGCTCGGCATGAAATACGCACAATAGGAGAGATAATTGATTGGAATAATGGGTTAGTGAATTAATTAAACACGTGCTTAAATAATTACCCACTAAGCTAATAATAACGACCAACTAACTATAAATAATAGATACGAATTAAAATAATAAATCCTTATAATAATAGTGAACTCAAAATAACAAAAATTGATTTAAGAAAGTCAAAACAATTAAATTATATTAGACTCAAAAGTAAAATATTCAACAATCTCCCAATTTTTTACTTTCTGATCAAAAACCAATTTTTCATCAACTCCCCCTGAATGAAACAATTTGAACTCCCCCTGAATGAAACACTTCGAAACTTCAAACCCCCCCGAATATAAGATCACATATAATATTCAACTTAATAGCATACGTGGAAATACATGAAAGTTCCAAAGTAGCAAAAGATAGTTCAAAAATAAATGTAGCTACAACAGTTCAAAAATTACATCCAACAAAGATAAAAGAGTGGGATGATTTAAAATTCAGCACTTGAACCACTGCTAAAACCGGTTTCATCATCATCTTCTCCTTTTTGATCAGAAAGGGTTAACTCCAATATTGCAATCATTCAATATAATTAATAGCCCAATTAAAAATTCAGCAGAGCAAAATAATTAATAGCGGAAATTAATAAATTTTAATAAATAACTATGATAATCAAAGTGTCAAAATTAAAAATAGGGACTGACACCCACGATTTTAGTAAGATAGATATTAAGAATGATTTAAAACACCCTAAAACATGAAAATCTCACTACTTGCAAGAAATAAGAGTCTGAAAATCTTGGATAAGTATATAATAATCTTTTTTTTTTTCTTTTGAATAAAAATAAAAGCACAAGTATTATCACAAACATTGGTAAAACTGAGAAATAGCGATTTAGGGGTTTTATTTATTTCCGCACTTTTTTTATCCTTTAATTTTATTGTGCAACACTTGATTTTTTTTTATTTTTTTTTTGTAAAATACTATTATTTTCAAGTTTAGAATTTTCAAATGAAACATAATCAAGGGTCAGCTTGAAAGATTCCTGAGTTACTCATTCCAACTATCAAAATATAGGAGTTTGGCTCATGCTTTTGTGAAAAGACAGAGAAGCTATAATGGCTTTTTTTTTCTTTTTCTTTTTTTTTTTTTTTTATTGAGAAACAAGCTGTTGCACTAGGATCTTAAAAGGAACAGAAACTCAAAGCCCAACATCCAAACCTCAGGGAGACCAATATAAATAATAATCCAAAAAGAATCATGTTACAGCTTTAGATATTCTTATGAGTGTTGCAACGTGGAGTAGAACATTATACATAGTGCTTATGCCAAAGGATCTTCTAAGTTAAGTAAACCTCTCATAGTCAAGAGCTTTAGCATATATATGTGCTAACTGATTTTCTGTAGTCACATATTTCAAGCAGATAATGTTCTTCTCAACTATATCATGGATAAAATGATGCTTAAAATTAATATGCTTAGTCCGTGAGTGTTGGACATGATTTTTATAAATGTCCATGGCAGTAGAATTATCGCAGTACATAGTCAAGTTATCATTAGATAAGCCCTAAGCATTTCTAACAAACTGATTAAGTTCCTCATTAATAGCATTAATCCATAAGTTATATTCCAATGCTTCTGTGATATTCTAAGATTAAATGGAGGAAACAAAACATGATGCATCATAATCAACACATAACGTGGACAAAGAAGTCAGTTTTACCATCTCTCTGTAGTTTACCTTTTCCTTACCCCTTGTGCGCATTTTATCAAAGACATCTCCAACAACTTGTGAGGTTGGGTGATTCTTTTGAATTTTGTTAGATGGCTCTTTTCTGCGCACATCTATTCTTTGAATATCTGTATCTGAATCATATTCATATGTATCTGCAGAAACTGGACAGATTGTTGTTGAATGTGTTGTTTCACTTGGATCAACACTTCTTTACTACTCACTGATTTTGATGTGGATGTTGTAGTCAACTTGTCCTTGTTTGGTACATCTTCAGGTGCATGTGACATATCTCCCATAGCAGAAGTGAAAGATACAGAAAATAATTGTAGCATCTCTCGATAATCCACTCTATCTTTTGTCCTAGTTCTTATCCCATCAGATTAATCACCCATGACTTGAGAAATTGGGTGATTCTTTTGTATTTTGTTTGGAACTTGTCTTACCGGAGGATGTGTATCATATTCACTCACCTTTATTTCAGAATTTTGATTAGATTCAATATCTACTGGATTTCCTAAGTCAAGTGTCACTTCAGATGTTACAACATCTTCTCCATCATTTGGTGCAGATTGAGGAAAATAACTTTCTATTCATCGATCCATTATTTCAGCTATTTGATCTTCTCCGATCTTGCTTGCAAGATCAGAAACATCATCAAAAACAACGTTTACGGTTTCTTGAATACTCATAGTAGGAAGATTATACAGTCTATAAACATTACTATTCACACAATATCCAAGAAACAAACCTCTATCATTTCGAATGTAGCACACACATCCAAAGACATGATTTTTTTTTTGAGATTAGATTGCTTACTATTGATTATCTCATACGGTGTCATTCTCTCAAACAAACACGATTATATATATATAACAACCCATGTTTAAAGCTTCAACCCAATTTTTTTAAGAAATATTTTGTGCACATAACATGATATGGACCATTTCTAGAAAAATCATATTCTTTCTTTCTGCAACCTCATTTTTCAGTGAAAGTTCATGAAAAATACCCTTTTTAGCTCAAAATAAATTAAATGAAGAATTTTCAAATTCTTAATTCTCCATGATCAGTTCTAATTCAACCAAAATTGACACCATAAATTAATGAATCAAACTTTAACAACACGGTACCATGAAAATGTAAGGAGATAGGTAAATCAAAGCTAATTTGAAAAAATTAATACGGCATGCATGCATGCAAGAACTGAATATTATGATAAAAATATATTTAGAAATCAACCATATCCATATGCATATATGGTCAATAATCAGTTGACGAGGCGGCAGTTTTCCCTGATCTCGCCCTGAGTGCCGGTGAGTATGACAGTCTTGCCCATTTTGACCATTGCAGCCGCGAAGTTCTTAGCCCATGCAGGACCGTTCTGAGCATTTTTCAGCACAATTTTGGAGGTCAAAGTGCTTGTCATAAGAACCTGATCCGACGTAAGAAGACCCTTTTTCTGCTTCAACAACTCGTAGTACAAATTGTCCAAACGTTTCGGAGTGATGATATCCTGATTCACCGTAGGGTTCACTCTTGGTGGACCTGTGGCATTAGCAACGGGCGTTGGGCAGATTTTTCTCAAGAAAACGGTGTACTTAGGGTCGAGAGTGGGACCCTTTCTTGTAAAACAAAAGCAATTAAACACATATATAATAGTAGCTAGCTAGCTAGTGTTAATACGTACTCAATTACATTCGTATGTATATATGAAGATGCATGATGAATACATATTATAAAAACTGAAATGATTTGTGCGGGCGACATTTAATTGTGCATAATTTTTTTTTAATTCTTCAAAAATCAAAAGGTAAATATTCTCACAAACTCTCTCAAACTTTTGGACTTTTTCAGATCCCGGCCGAGACAACAACAGATCGGAGGTAATTTCTACATTTTTTTAATTGTTTCGTTACGTAAATTACGATTATTGATTTTTTCTTAAATGAAGCATCTGGTAGTACTCGCGTAATTCTACACGAGTACAATGGAATTACTCGTGTAGAATCACGTGAGTAGATGAATGTAATTTTTGTTTTTTGTTTTTCTTTTTTTTGAAAATACGCATGTTTTGATTGAAAAGTATTAAAAAATAATGGAGGTCGTATGTTATTATGCCAACAAGGGGGTTGTGCTCGTGTCAAACCACACGAGCTAAGTTCATCGAGCTCGCCTAAAATCACACGAGCTCCATTTAGTTTACCTTTTTTTTTGTTGCTCGGGTGAGCACACGTGAGCAGATCTATTGTCCTCGCGTGCCTGCACACGATGAAAATTGATCTGTTCGCGTGTTTTCACACGAGCAACTTTAATTTTTTTTTTTTAAGTAAATATTAGTTCAGTTTTTATGTTAAATTATAGATGGCCGGAGGTAGAAGGAAAAGTTAAATAAGTCAAGTTTCGGGAAAAAGTAAGAGTTTGATGAAAGTTTTGGGTGGGAAGTCGAACAATCTGGATGATCCGGATCGTATTGGAGATCAGGGAGTTCTTGCATCCGATCTTATAAGGAAGGCGACGGCAATACAACCACAATGACTTGATTTGATGATGCCCCATGCCCAGTATCTCCATCTTGTACCCGGGAGGGGTAGGGGATCGAGGGTTAGACAGTAGAATGGTTATGACTCTTTTAATATTATTACTATTGTTTCCATTTCCATTAGTTCAGTATTAGGATGATGGTTACTCGATTTTCTATTTTGATTGTGTTGAAGAATTACTCGATTTTCTATTTCGATTGTGTTGAAAAATTACTTAGTTTTCTATTCATGATGTGCTCAAATATTACCCGGTTTAATATATTTATTAAGTTGAAACCATAAAATGGAATTTAAAATAAAAAATAAAAAAATAATGATACTCGTGTAATTCTACGCGAGCAAACGCTCTCTGTTCACGTAAAACTACGCGAGCAACTCAATCTTGGGAATTACATCTTGCAAGAGAGATTTATATATAGTGCGTACAAAATAATCCAAAACCCTTAAATTTGGACTTCTGATTAACAACCTCTAAGTTTGCTCTTGACAGGTTTTACCTTGTCTAGTGACTCTACGTGCTTCAGGCTCGGAGTTATTTTCAGATATTTGGCCTTTAAATCGGCTTTAATTTTGACAGATATTACCACGTCTTGACTCAATGAGCTTCAGACTCGAAGTTATATTAACTATTAGCCTCTAAATCGGCTTTCTTGTCTCAACGAGCTTAGGCTCAGAGTTATATTTAAGCAGCAATTCAGCAAGTATATAAACTATATATGTGTATATACACGAATGCATCATATCCTTTAAGAAATGATAGCGTATAAAATACCGAAGTATTTGCTTTTCATTATCATTTGTCTTTTCGACAATAGATTGAGAATCTGGATTTTCGTAAAATAAAATAAAAAGAAAAATACGAAAATAGCAAATCTCTATCAAGCAAAACCTCGTACTGATAATGTGTTATAGAATAAACCCTCTATTATAATCATATAACTCATGAATATTACTGGAATAGAAAATATTAAAATATTTTGTAATATAAACTGACGAAAAGAACTTTTACTAAACTTAAGAAAACCTTTGAAGATGACAAGAATTGAGAGAATGGAAGTCTATATATTATTATTCATTCACGATGTACACATATTTATACAGATTGGAAACAAGCTTCCTCATGCTAGCCAATAAAATAAGTAAAAGGAGAAGATGACACATAGCAATCAAACTTAGTCCAGAAGCAATGGATATATATTATAATAATCCGGTTGTTTTGTCTTACTTAATATATTCTTATATTTTTTTCTCCTTATTTGATGTGGGCAGGGGTGGAAATTTGGACGGATTGGGTCCGTATTATCACTTTCGCGAAAATTTCAATTTGTTTCCCGAACTGAAAAATTCCAATTTGGTTCGAAATAAAATTGTAAAATCCAGATATTTGAGTTTCAGAAATTGGATAAAAAATTGCTCAAAAAGCAATATCTTTTAATTGGAATCGGCGTTATTCAAAGTTCCACTTTTTGCATCACCAATAATACAAAAATACACAATATTTGGAATTTTCGGAAATATTTTCAAACATTAAAATTGATTCGAAAAACTGGAATCTAATAAGCATTCTGATTCATTTTCAAGAAAAATCAGAATTTGGGAAGAAAATTTGAATTTTCGGATCAAAATCGACGGGGTTTGAAATTTTTGTTCCCATTTCTAACCCGAAATGTGTGACTGTGATTTCTCTTTTTATTGAGTTTAATGTCATCTTTTTTATTTACTGAGTAGCTATTCGAACAGGTATCACTTGGTCACGATGGTGTTCGTGATATTGAAGGGAATGAGCTTCCTCGTTTGGTTTACGTGTCCCGAGAATAAAATACCAGGTTTCGAGCATCATAGGAAAGTAGGGGCCATGAATTCTCTGGTTAATCTTACTTTTCAGTATTTTAAACATATACATAAGTATAAAGGGTTTATTAGGGATAACCCCCTTGTTTATATTTTCTAATGAGGTAGATCCAATTAATTTTTCCCTTTTTGAGAGACAACTAAATTTGCCAACTTGGCAAAATATATTATGTAATTTCCCTTTAATACCCCTTTTTTATTTTGTTTTATTTTTGAACGGTATTTACTTCCTTAACTACGTGATATGAGATTGCTGATACGTTGCCTAAAATCACGGAATAAAATTACGTGAGTATATTGGCGGTTTCTATCAAATCTTGTACAACCGGTTTTGAAGAATTTATCCAGCGTTTCATCGTTTTCCATCGGATTTGAAGATAGGTTTGGATTTGAGCGTTCATCGTTTTTCATCGTTTTCCATCGTTTTTCAATGAGCTGGATCGTTTTCAATCGGGTTCGGATTTGAACCGGTTTTGAAGAATTTATCCAGCATTTCATCGTTTTTCATCATTTTTTAACCGGCATGGAAATAGGTTCGGATTTGAGCGTCCATTGTTGTCCGTCGTTAAGCAGGTATGAATGTGTTTTTTTTTTAGTTTTTTTTCGGTTTTTTTTTTCGTTTTTATTTTTCGCTGTATTTTTTCGTTTTTATTTCGTTGTTTTTTCGCTGTATTCGTTTTTAAGATTTGTGTTGATACGTTGATTATATTGGTAGTAAAGTAGATCGTTTCTTAAAAAAATTACGTCGTCACATATACATCCTTATTTTGGCTGATGATGTTTGTTTGGAAGAGGATTCACAGAGTTGGCAGAGGATGGTTCACGCAGTCGGACCAGAGTTATTTTATATGAGTGTCGTAGTTGGTTTACGCAATAATCGAGTGATAGTTGGTTTATTTGTTTATAAAAGTTGATTTTAGTGTCCTCGGTAGTACATTGAAATACATTTTCGTAGTCTTTTTCAACTGATTGTATGGATTATGCATTTTCAAGTTTATTTTTGATGATGTTAATTTATTGTCATTCAAATGTATTTGCAGTCTATTTAATCATTTTTAGTATTCAGCATTTTTAAGTTCGTTTCATGATTTTAGGTTCATATGATGCTGAAGTTGTTATTTCTGATGATGATGGAATATGGGGTGGGGGTGAACTAGTTGGAGCCGTTGATGCCACTGGAAGTGAGGCATTGAATGCAGGCTTTGTCCAGTTGTTCGAAGAAGAAGTCGACTGCATTCCTGATGATAGCAATGAGGACATAAACTAAATGAATTCAAATGATTCCGATGGTTGTTATTTTCCAAACCACCCTAAGATTTGATATGTTTAATTAATGTCGTGTTTACATGTAATGGCTCGGTAACTTCGGTTAAGTGTTAAACCGTTGTAATACAGTAGTATACTATTAATTAATATAGTATTCATACTATATTATGAATACCGTATGATACTACCATTATCATTTTATTATACTATTATGAGATTATTAATGTACTAGAGTTTTTAACTCGACATATTGGTTTGATTGTGTTATGATGTATTTTAAGTATTTTATCAAAACCCTAGATTGAAATTATGAGATTATTAATGTACTATTTTATTGGTTATGTTGGAATTACTTTACGTTGGTTTTATTCTCAATGTTCTTGTCATTTCAGTGGTATATTGTTTGTAACACAATTTCATATCACTACTATAACCGTAATATACTATCATAGCAGATTAATGTACTATATTGAAATTATTAATATACTATGTGGTTGAATAATACGGGATCCATAGTCGATTAACGAGATCCATAGTCGAATTAGATCAATGAGATAGTCTATTACATGATATGGGGTAGTCTAACAATATTAAAACACAAATCCGCCTCCATCACTTATCAGATCTAGGATTTTGTTGATTCTTCGGCCCAATAGTCAAATAACTAAACCCATTGTCGAATTAGATATATTGGATAGTCTATTAAATGATATGAGATAGTCTATTAATTATAAAACACAAATCCGTCGCCGTCACTTCTCAAATCTAGGGTTTTGATAATTTTTCGGCCCATAGTCGATTAACAAGATCCATAGTCAAATTATATCAGTGGGATAGTCTATTAAATGATATGAGATAGTCTATTAGTACAGATGTAATTCGACTATGCATCTCGTTAATCAACTATGGGCCGAAGAATTATCAAAACCCTAGATTTTAGTAATCCTAGATTTGAGTGACCCTAGATTGGAGCAGTGACGGCGGCGGCGACCGTGGCCAACGACGATATCACTCCTAAATTGATTGTTACGACCTTGGAGGCGGGAGCGGTGTAGGTCTTGGTCGTTTTTTGCGGTCTTGGAGGTGGAGGTGGTCAGATGTGGTGGTGGTGGAGGACTAGGCGGTGGTGGAGGTGTTGCTTATGGCCAATATCGTTGTTATCGTCGTTGGCCACCGGCGACAACGGTGACGGAGGTGGCGGCGGTCGATTTAGCCAAAATATATCAACATATCGATTGATGATAGCGATTCAGCGAGTGGCGACGACGTACCTACGGCGGCTTGGTCGGAGTGCAGAAAATCGTCGATCCACGCCATATAAATTTCTGGTTTTGGGAGGTTTACAGATTTTTGGTAGTGGGTTTGTGGGGATAGTGTTTTAACGGGAAATAGGGAGGGATTTGATATTATTTTAAAAGGTAAAGTAACGGGATTTGTGGGATTTGATTGAGGGTACTTATGTAATTTAGAAAAGTTTGGGTTTTTATCAAAATGGCAAATTTATGTTTGGGTCTACCCCTATTTTTTTAATGTCTAAGGGGGTTATATCTAATGGACCCAAATATAAAAAAGTGCGAACTGAAAAAACCACAATGACTAAAAGCCTCAACTATGTGTTTTTTTTTAATAGGGTTTCACCTGTACTGTACAAGGCGTCACATTAAA